AGAAAGTACCTACGGTCAGGTATCATCATGTTAAAATTTCTCTCTTGGTTTATTAATATTTTACTAACGATTTTAGATGCTAGGCAAAATATCCTAACTCGTGCCAAATGATGAGTCACAACCTGAAAGGCAAAATGGAGTATTCTTAAATTCCTAGCCCAGGGTTACAATTAATCTGATGGAAATACACACGAGTTAGGCGGTCTTCATCTATAATCGCACCTTCGGGTCCCGCATATCTTTCTGTTTCAGGAAAAAGGGCCAAAGTAAAAGAAATAAACAAGTGCTCGAGGCTTCATACTTCACCGCTCAAACACTTGGGGGACTACAATATTGTACACAGATACGTGTAGAAATGCAGATACGCAGATACGAATATCGAACGATAGAAGTCAAGTATTGAGAAAAAATTATGAAGTCTTCAGCATTCATGAGAACAACAGAGTCATCTCTCAAACTCATAAACAAAGTCACCTCTCAAACCCTTCTTAACATGTAAAGATAGGGTCATGACTATGTACTGAAACAGGTTATGAAGAAAAACCTTGTTTATTTTATGTTATTTACAAATCTGTTACAAGAAAAACAGTTACGAGAAAGTTGTAGATGTATTGTAATACATGTAACAGTCAAACACTTGTTAAAAGTTTATGAATAAAAACTTGCCAAAGTTGTTTCATACAAAACGTGTGTTTTCCTATTACTTTCATCGTATTATAACACCATTATGAAGTTGAGACGTCTTCTTCATTAAGTGTCGATAAAATAAAAGGGCCCTCTTTTATAAGCCTCATGTTAATAAGTCATGAGAAGAATCATAAAGCATTTTCAAAGGATAAAAATGCTAAACTATTCTATAAGTCCTAAATAAGTAAGGAAAAGGCAAGAATAGAACACATTGAAGTACTAATGAAATNGGCGGTCTTCATCTATAATCGCACCTTCGGGTCCCGCATATTTTTCTGTTTCAGGAAAAAGGGCAAAAATAAAGGAAATAAACAAGTGTTCGAGGCTTCATACTTCACCGCTCAAACACTTGGGGGACTACAATATTGTACACAGATACGTGTAGAAATGCAGATACGCAGATACGAATATCGAACGATAGAAGTCAAGTANTACGAAGTCTTCAGCATTCATGAGAACAACAGAGTCATCTCTCAAACTCATAAACAAAGTCACCTCTCAAACCCTTCTTAACATGTAAAGATAGGGTCATGACTATGTACTGAAACAGGTTATGAAGAAAAACCTTGTTTATTTTATGTTATTTACAAATCTGTTACAAGAAAAACAGTTACGAGAAAGTTGTAGATGTATTGTAATACATGTAACAGTCAAACACTTGTTAAAAGTTTATGAATAAAAACTTGCCAAAGTTGTTTCATACAAAACGTGTGTTTTCCTATTTCTTTCATCGTATTATAACACCATTATGAAGTTGAGACGTCTTCTTCATTAAGTGTCGATAAAATAAAAGGGCCCTCTTTTATAAACCTCATGTTAATAAGTCATGAGAAGAATCATAAAGCATTTTCAAAGGATAAAAATGCTAAACTATTCTATAAGTCCTAAATAAGTAAGGAAAAGGCAAGAATAGAACACATTGAAGTACTAACAAAACTTCTTAATATAATTAAAAAGACTAAGTAGAAACTTAGTCAATAAAAGTTTATACAAGTGCCCCATTATGATAACTGGGGACTTTCACCAAAAAATCCCTTAAAAACTAAGGGATAAAACCATCATCCAATTGAAGGGGTTAACACATCCGAAGTTGCAATATTAATTTCACTTTCAGCCATNAGCTGGAATTGCAACATTTTCAGCTGAAGCAGGAATTGTAATCCCAATTGCTGCAGTATTCACTTCTTCATTTAAAAGTTCTTCTGTTCCAGGAACTTCAAGTGCAGGAGAAGGAGTATCAGTAGACTGTTGGCTTTTCTCGATGGTATCTACGACTTTGGCCAGTTCAGACGGCAAGTCAAAACCTTCTTGATCAGCTTCCGTCAAAGCATCACGACGAGATTTCAAGAAAGCCCAACTCACCTCTATGTTAAAATTTTCCTCTAGAAGTCCATATTCCTTTTCCCACATAGCAAGATCGTTTTTTAAGATTTGATATTCAGCTAAATGGGAATCAAGGGAAGCTTCAAGAGAAGCATGAGAACTCTTCAAGGCATGAATCTCGTCAGAAGAAGTCTGTAAGTCAGCCTGAGCTTGAGTCAAGCTTTGCACTAACTCTCCTGCATATTCTTCCTTCCTAGCCAAAAGTGCCTTCAGCTCCCTAACTTCTTCACTAGCCCTGGATAATTGTTCTGACAAAGAGCATTCCAAAAGCTCTTTGTCTCTTTTCAATTGGCTTGAAGAGGCTTTGACAGTTGCCAGTTCAGAAGTTAAACCACGGTTTTGCTGCTCCAGGAGATTTTTATCTTCTTGCAACTCCTCTATGGTCCCTTGAGCATTCTCGAACTGCTCCTTCCAATTGGTTGCTTCAAGCTGGGCTCCCCTAGCTATTTCTTCGGCCTCGTGGACAGTCTTTTCAGACTCACGAGCTTTTCTTTCCAGTAGGGAAATTCTTCCCATTAATTCCGTGCCAATAAGGTTAGCCTACAGAGATAAGTCATAGAAGTGAGAGATTGAAGATAATTAAAAAAAAACTTGTTGGTAAAAATACCTTCAAAGTAGAATGAACTACATCATTCATCAGAGTTAAGCAGCTATGGCTCCCCATCTTCTTCTTCTCGATATCTCCAATTCGAGGTTCGAGCCAAACATCGGCTCTACCGGTCTTCCTCAAGAGGCTATGATTAGCAAGAACCTCCAAAGTAACACTTCTCATAGTCATACTTCCACTGCTAGAACCTGTCTCTGTATGATGAACAGAGGGAAGAGGAGCAATGGAAGGAATGGAAGGAAAAGATGTAGAAACCAACGCAGGAGCGGTAGAAACAGCCAATGGAACGGATATAGGAGCGGTAGAAACTGGCAAAAGAACGGAAGTCGTCAAAACTGGTAAAGAAATACTTACGGTTGGCTGAGGAATGAAGGAAATAGGAACAAATAAGGAAAGAGGAGCTTCATCAAAAACAGGGTCGAGCTCGCCACTTCCGAAACCACTGTCAAAAAGATGCTGAATTGACTCATTATTATCTCTTGGTTCGGCGTCCTCGTCAGAATGAATCAAAACAGGCTCGGTGGTGGAGGTTTGAGCAGGAGTGTTTTCAATTTCATCATCAATGATTATTCGTCTCCTGACCCTTGGCCTGGTAATTAGGGAGGTACCCTCCTCTTCTTCTTCAGAACTTTCCTTTGTAGCTTTCCTTTTAGGCAGCAAGGCTCGAGCCTTATCCAAATCAAGAGCAGCATTCGCAGACATGCGAATGGCCATAGCTACTTCAGCCGTCATTCCTCTAATGCCAAATCCTGATTAAAGGATGGATATACATGATTAAAGTTGAGGAAAAAGTGCTTAACATGTAAAAAAAAATTCATATAAAAAGGGGGATACCATGTGTTTTGACCTTCCAGCCATGTAAGGAAGAAATTGATTTCCAAGTTCTCTGCTCCCTAGAAGCAATCTTCAAAAGTGAGTCTACCCAACCACGGAAGTTGGGAATAGGTTCAACATCTCCCATGGTTGCTACAAAAAACCAAGAAGGGATGAGGTTAAAAACAACTTTCTTTTGAAATTCTCAAAAGTAGGTACGGTAAATAAAAGAAAACCTACATTCAAAATTCCACTTCTCAGAGAAGGGAATATTTGTTTCGCCAATCAAGTCTACCGTACGAACAACAACATAACGGATATACCATCCACGGTCTTTGTCATCCTCAGGATTTACCAAAACTTTTTTGCTCCTTGCAGTTAAGGTAAAAACCCCATGGCGTATTAAGTTAGGATGGTATAGATGAATGAGGTGAGAAAAGGTGAAATTGACATTGGCCTTGGAGGATAAATATCTCAAACAAGCCACTGTTCTCCACACTAATGGACCGATTTGGGCCAAACAAATTGTAAAGAAACGACAAAAATCGAGAATAACTGGGTCAATCGGAGGATTAAAACCTAAAGTGAAGGGGTAAGTGTAAACAGAAGAATACCCACTTCTAAAAGAGGAAATTCTTTGATTTGGGGAAGGAATTGACATTCGGAGACTATCCTTCCAGTTACAATCTTTTCTTATGGTGGGGATTGTAAGCTCGGTTACTATTGTTGGGTAAGTATCGACTCCTTTCTAAATTTTTAATTTGTTTTTGAAGAGACGTTTTGTCACTTTCAAAAGACAAATCGCTGGGAACTATATCATCAACTGAGGGTTCTTGAGAAGAATCAAGAATTTCCCTACTTTTAGAAGAAGGGGCTTTTGGGATAGAACTCCTTGAAGAAGAACCAGAGGAGCCGCCTCGCGTAGATTCTAACCCTGTTCGAAGCCTACCTCCTCCGCCTCTTCTGTGTCTAACAGGAGCGTTGGGGAATTGATCTAAAATTGGAATTTTTTTACGGTTAGGGTTTGAAGAAGACATTCTTAAGAAGGAAGTATGTGCTGAAGATTTGTGAAGAAGACAAAGGAAGAAGAAGTTATGTGTAAAATGGGAACCGTCAACTTTAAGAAGTGTAATGATGAAAAGCCTATAATAAAGGCAGCTATCACTTCGTAAATAGTGAGAATGAAGAAGTCTCGAAAAAGGGTATGAATAGCGGAATCAATTAGAAAATGACACATGGGCCGAACATTAAATGGAAAAGACTGCTGAGGCGTTAATACTGTCATGAGCATTAATTGTGGCAAAAATTCCTTTTACATGAAGATCCACTTTCCAATTATTTAATTGATAAAAAAATGGAAAGTGGGGGGACTATCTGTATTGGGAAAAAACTGAGTTTATATTAAAGATGATGTGGCATGACACGTGGATTAGTTAAATGGTCAAAGCGCAGCAATTGACTAAGAGGCACGGATGGAGACAGCCACGGGAAGAAGAATTTAAATAGGCACGAGACGACGTATAGATACGAGTCTCGTACCAATTTAAATTGTTTACAGCCAACGGATTAGAAGGCATTGAAAGCAAAGATCTGATGACAGAAAGGAGTCCAAATTCATTATTAAATACTTGATACGTTACAAAATTGGTATTTAATAGGAATGATTGTATAACGGCTTATTTAATGTCATTTATTACTCATGATTATATCATTAAAGCTAAGGCTTCATTCCTTTACCTAGAATTATCTATAAAAGGAAGAAGTATCATCATTTGTAAGGACACGAAATACTATTGAGAATTTATTGAAATACACATCTATTTGTTTTTTTACCATCGTTCTCAAAAGTATTTTATTTTTGTCTCCTGATTATCAGTAACCCGAATTTCTTTTTAGTTTTGACCAAAGACTCAAATTTTTGGTTAAACAAGGTGCGACAGGATTTTAGAGAGTCCGAGTAACATAGATGTTAGGTCTACAGTACGAAAAAGGGATGATTTAGAGATGATTGCACCAACCAATGCTTTGACTCTCAGAGTGAGAGTTGGCATCAATCTCATTCCTTGTTATTAGATAACAAAGTACATTTCAACCCGAACGAAGAATGAAATATATCATGCTTTAGCAAGCACTTGCTCCTATCAAAAAGCGAGACTTTACTAAACTATCCTTGTTCTCTATCTTAGTAGTTAAGTGATAACAAGCAAAAAGATATATGCGCCTTACAACTATTTATCCAACTTTAGAAAATGAGAGGGATGTAGGCTAACTGTGTATTTTTTTTTAGCTGAACTGTGTATTTGATACTTCTTTTTAGCAGTTAAGAAATCACTTGATGGATGTCATTAGCCGTCATTAGTCAAACACGCTTCTCCAACACACAAGGACACAGGATAAAAGTTGATGGATGTCAGTGTTATCAAAGGCGCGCTTAAGTCCTGAAGCGAGACTCAAAATATGTTGAGCGCTTCGCCTCGCTTAGCGGGCACTTCGATGCTATTATCAAGACTCCAATGAGCATAATCCTGAAGAGGCTACACTAAACAATTGAAATTTCACTTTAGCGTAAATTTTCTTTGTCCATATATTTGGTATTGGACTACACATACATATTTATAGTTTTTATCCATTTACGCCTTTTCTTCATTAAAGCTCATGCTTTATTTGCGCTTTGTGCTAAAAGCCCAACAGACATTTTTCTGCGCTTTTCGGCTTTGATAACACTGATGGATGTCATTAGCCATCACTGGTCAAACATGCTTTATCTAAGACAAAAAGATATAGGATAAAAGTTGAAACCACATTCATGATTCAACTTCAAAAGTTTACTATTATTACTGAAAGTTGGATTAGACCTGATAGGGAACCATCATATAAGATACAATAGGCTGTTGCTGAAAAGCTCAAACGAGTAGTAGAGAGCTTTGCTATGAACAATTACCAATAAAATTTTTACAAGCAAGCCTGAGATTCCCTAACTAGCCTTTTAATCAGTCCCCCCTGTACAGTAGTATGACCAATTTTTCACATCTGCCCTTCCTTGTATTTCAATCTGATGAAGAAAAGATCTATATGCCAAAAGTTTGCAAACCAGGAGCCCAAAAGAAAGTGTGTTCTTGGTACCTCTCTGTCATTCTGTGTCTCATGTAAGTGGAACCAAAATTATACACTTCTCTGAACCAGTCGAATTATACGTCATTGTAATATACTGCTGCATGGCTCCTTGGACGGTGATCTGGGGAGAACCAAAATAAACTAGATAGTCAAGGTATCAAGGGAGTCGTGGAAACCATAAGCAGATACTGTTACAGGTACAAGTAACTTACAATAGCAACTGACAGCGAAAAACATTAGTATCCTGCGACTGCCTTCTCCTTTCATCCGCTTCAAAACTTTTATTTGGCAAACTAGACTTTTTGGTATAGTTACTGTACAATTGTTCCAAGAGATATTTCAAGCGCATCCATCCTTTTTCAGGTGGCTTTTACAAGTTAAACCCCATTATCCCGACCAAATACTTGAAAGCCAGGATTCAGGTCAAACGATGGGCCCAATTTTACTTGATCCCTCAGGAGCTGCTGGGCAACCCTATTAGCTAATACTGACTGTCCCTGATATGGTTGTTCAGCCACGCCCCTTTGAGCCGGGCCCCCAGAATTATCTCCAACAAAACCATTGTCAGATGGAAGTGTTTCTTGGATAAAATGGGATTGAGAAGTCCCTCGAAGCATGTCAGGATTCAGATCGTGACTAGTTTCACCATTAGGGTAAAAGCTTCTTTGGGCCCTTGGTGATGTTCCTACACCTTCTGATGAATAGGTTGTTGGCGTCATTAGGTTAAATAGTGGAACAGCACCACCGCCAACACTAAGAGGTGTTGCTGAACCAGATACAGCACAGGGGCTTGATATGGTGGAGGGGGAGAGTCTCCCACTCATATGCTTAGGTGATTGTCCGACGGCCTGAAATATCAAAAAACATGAAGTCAACCCGCTAAGCCCCAAGGAAAACAATGAGTTTAGCAATGATCAGCCAGAGTGTATATGCTTAATTTAAATCATGGTGCATACAGTCAGCAGAATGTTCACGAGTCCTAAAGATGGCAGATAACATCACTAGTCTCCAGAAATGATTAAGAGGAGTTCCCCAGACAGAGAGTATCGAGTGTTACTGACGGTACCTACCACAAATGTAAAAGACAAACCTTTTGAGAAAAAAATGTGTTTTCCCAAAGGAGCTAGTACCAAAGAGGTTTCATAGAACTGAACTTACACCGAAGGAAAATCTACTATTGCCCCAACAGACAATGACCCAACTACTCAGCGGGCAACCAACCAATGTTCATTTGCAAGTGCTTAAGTGATATGAGACCCTCAAAAGTTAATCATCCTTCTGAATTTGTTTTTGCGCATTTTTTTGGTTTCTGTAGCCTAATACCTTCAGACAGTAGAACTAATTTTGTCTGGAAGAACCGTCCATATCATTTCAGAATGTCCTATTCCTTAAAAGTCCTCAATTTCAAATACTAGGGAATGTTCAAATGCAGTAAAGTTGGTTGCAAAATCTTCTAATATAGGTAACTATAATTTCTTTATCAACCACAGCGAAACTCTAAGAAAAAATATCAAATTAGGGAATGTTCAAGAAGAAATCATAATGTCCTTGTGGAAGTCATGCTCACAGATAGACCAAAATCATGGAAGCAGGCACTAATGTGTAGCTTTTAGTTGCACTGGAATGGCAAGATTGCCAGATGCACAAAGAAGGAAACCTTACCACTGATCTCACAGTAGGCATGGATGGAGGTATTATTTCTGCAGGTTCAGGACTTAGAATGGGTCTTTCCACCGGAACGGTACTCCTGACAAAGGGATGTTCCAAGAGCTGAGAAGCTGTTGGACGATGTAGTGGATTGCGTTGTAGACATTGCCACACAAAATCCTTGCCCTCATCTGAGAGGTGGTAGGGGATCGCAGGAAGTTCCTTGCTGTTTCCAATTTTAAATATAGCAGCAACCTATTAAAAAAGAATTAGAAGCACAACAAAAATTGAAACTGTTTACTCTTGGGCCATCATACATATTTACTAACCCCCTCATACTGACTCCAAGGTGGTTTTGTCGTTGCCATCTCCAAAATTGTACATCCAAGGCTCCATATATCTACCGCAAGATTGCAACCACTTGAATTTTTAACAACCTGATTAACAAAATTTATGAAATGAATTAGTTGAAACACAGAGCTAAACATTGATGAGATAAGAGCTTGAGTAATATTAATGCAAACCTCAGGTGCCATCCAATAAGGACTTCCCTTGAAAGACAAAGGACAGTATTGACCAGTTATCTGCAAAATGTATCTGAGTTAGCCAAATATGACCTGTATAGAATTATGAACAAACAAACATTTCTTCCTAACACCAACAGTTGAAACTCAAAAATCTTACAAGACCAAATTTTTTTGGGGAAAGTGTACATGGAAGAGATATAAAGGAAATCCTCCTAGTCAAACAATAGAGGCCGGAACAGTTGTTATCCAGGTGCAACCTTAGAAAAATGCTGTAAACTTAGGATTCTTTGGCCAGAACTGAGACGATTATTTATTATCATAAAACATACGAAAAGTTGACCCACAATCACTTCAAAATTTATTGCTTCTGGAGTATTCCCACCTAAGACTGTAAAATTATCATGAATGGCCATATTTCAATTAAGTTACAATATAGCCTCCCAATTCCCAGAGTTAATAAGTATACACTCTTATGCAAATTTCAAGATATTCTATAGCTTTTGATTCTTCTTTTCACAAAATTGAAAACTCAAAACATCATATGATCCTTCTGCAGTTTCTCTAACTATTTTTAGGGAACTTTTGCAAGACTTCAGTATTCTCTCCCAAAAGGTTTAAAAATAATAACAATGAGTTCAATTTTACAAAGGGACAACAGCGATTGTTATTGACCTAAAAGGAAACCTACAGATAGCAGGAATAAGACAATCACAAAGCAGATCCTAGCACTGCCTAACTTTTGGCTTGCCCCACGCGTTTTGTAGAACACTTGACATAAGTAACAATAATGTTAGAGATGAAAAGTGCATTCCGACCCATATGCACAAAGTAGACAGACAAGAGTGTACTGCACAAAAAGATCATACATGTTTTGCCATCCCAAAATCTGCCAATTTAACGCGGCCACTTGGGTCAACCAGTATGTTTGCCCCTTTAATATCTCTGAACAAAATATAAAACTACATGTCAGCCATTAGACATATTAAGATAGGGGCTCTAAGAAAATCAATGGCAAAAAAAAAAAACATGTATATTGCCCACAAGTACTTTTTCAACAATACACCTACCTATGCACTGTGTTTTTAGCATGCAAATATGCTAGCCCAGACAAAATTTGCTTGGTGTAACTTTGAATTGCTAGCTCACCCAACTGACCATATTCTTGAAGAATTTTATAGATTGAACCACAAGAGACATACTCAAGGTATATGTATAGTTTGTCATCTACCTGTAGATGAAATTGAACGAGGCATTTAAGGCAATCTATATCATCATTTAAGGGAATCATGAGATTAAGTGCAAACTGTAACATATTCAAAAATAAAATCATGATTGTTGATATCCTGAATAACCTGAGAATAAAATGTTGGAGCTTATCAAACAAAATTTTGGGCACACCGTACTTAGTCAACTTTGATCTTTTTGAACAACTTTCTTTAAATAAAGAAAACATTTTATGATTAATTATGACAAGCATGATGCCAGTAGTAACCACTTTAAGAAACTTACCGACTCAGATCCATAATATTGCACGATATTTGGATGGCGCAACCGACTTAGCAGTGATATTTCCTACAAAATATTGCTCAAGTTATGGTTTCAAGAAGATAAATTATGAAGTCAACAACAGAAACACGATGATAATTTTCAAAATAATAATAATAGCATATTGCTTCTTATTGTTTTTTATTTTGCTTCAATTAAGTACTTCGTGTGAAAACATTTATCCCATAGAAATTCTGTATAGAGCATAAGTATAGTCCGGAGAAGCAAATTTAGATATTTCTTAAAAGTAACTCACTTGTCCAAGTTGCTGTGCACTCTCTCTCGACTTAGCATCATCTGAAAAAAGTGTTACTTCCTTCATTGCACACATCTCACCACTTTCACTGCATATTGTAATCAAATATGCTTTAAAATTAGTGTCTGTTTTGAAAAGATAAAATAATGATACAAGAAGAACTCCATTAGTTTGCTAACTCCACCTCCAGTGGATCATCATTAAAGTAATCTAATGTTAGCATGCGTAAAAATCTCAAGCAAAAATGCAGGAAGGAATATTAAAAGCACATTGAAGGTAAACTTTATAAGAAACAATGGTAAAGTATCGATTACCATCCCAGCTACTGACCTGTTAAAACCAAGGTACACATGTCCAAATGTGCCTCTGCCAATCAGACGTCCTTTCTTCCATCGTGACCCTGGGATTGGAGGATTTTCTGTCCTACCAGGACTTCGCAGAATTGCAGGAGCCACTGAATATGGAGAAAAATGAGAATGAGGGATTGATATGGGAGGAAGAGGCAGCCGGTGACTTTGTTGTTTTCCATCATCAAGCCAGGCTATGGAAGATTCAGCCGATGTCCCACCAGATCGAGGATGCAAAGGAGTTACAGCACCACTATGTATCCTAGAGCCAGGAGCAGGACTAGTCATTCTGGGGCTAGGTACAGGTGAACACTCAGGACTACACCTGCTGTGTGGCCAAAAGGGCTGTGCTGACATATCACCTCCAATTGAATTTTGTCCTGAATTCTGGACTGAACCTGGACTAGAGCAGTGCCCTGATCCTAATAAGGTTATGTCTCCATGTGGCTTCCCTAGCCAGAAACCAAAGTTCATGACCGGTTCATGCCCAAATACCCTCATGGGACTTCTTGAAGGACTTGACATCGAGCTGTCAGGAGCACTATAGATAACACCATGATGAGGAATCTGTAAGTCTGCCACATGAGAGTTTAAAAGCCTCTGTCTAGGAGATGTAGGGATCACCTGATTGTTAGACAAAAGATTAGCTGACTTCAACATCTCTCCTGGACTTGCTTTGAATGCAATAGGAGATTGAACCTTCTGCTTCAAACTACATAAACATTGAGTTTATTTGTTAGAAATTCTAAAAAAAGAAACTCTTAAGAACTACTGTGTATCAAATTGGAAGCTGGGACAGCACATTGTATCAATTTGTGCTTACCTGGAAGGACTATTCAAGGCAGTTCTGCTCCCGTTTTCACAATCAGATGTTTGGGGGCTAAGAAGCCGTGAGTCAGCAGGGTCATCACTGTCACTGGAGCTGTCACATGAAACAGAAGCAGTTGGTAAGTCCTTGTCAACCCCTGTAGCAACTGGTCCATATGAAAGATGCCTAGGCGTGGGAAGAGGCAAAGTCAATGATGGCTTGGAGTCTCCACTGGTCACTGATTTTATGGATGCACTGTTCGCAGAGTCGACAAGATGTACATTAGAAAAGTGACCCTCAGGAAGGGGAAGTGGTTGAGAAGAAGTCCTATCAACAAAGCTCTGACAGCATGAAGCTGGCGTAGAAGGTGATGGTGACCTGGAAACCCTTGATTGAGAACCCTTTTCTGAAATAATATCATTACATCGTCTTCGAGATGATCCAGATTTACCACTTGATTTTTCCTCAGTGAAAATCTTCAGTTTCCTACTTATTGTATCAATGAAACGTTCCTTCTTGGATTTCGTCCTTACATCCTTAGATGAAGACTTACCCCACCATGAACGCATTGCTAAATGAGATTATCGTGAGCAAGGACAGTCAACTGTAGTGTATACCAAAACTTAGCTGAATAAAACCAGCTAAATAACTAAATCCTATGAGGAGTTCCTTTGAATATGCCTTTATGTCATAGAAGCGCTCATAGTGATTAGTCCAGTCCTCAAAGAGCATCAAAGTTCATTTCTAACCAATGCATGCACCTACAACCATTAAACAACTTAGAGATTAAAATTTCTACAATTTAGACAGGGATGTAGATGCAATATATGAGTTATGTTAACAAGCACTATACCTATGGCTGTCTGCAAGAGAAAATGGGCTAATCAACAGCACCCTTCAGCTGTTTATGTCTTTGCAAGCATGAACAGGTAGAAGACAACCNAAAATCTGATCACAGAACAGGATAAAACCTTAACCACCCACTAATTGCAAATAAAATACAATTACATGCATATATTTTTCTGTAATACTGTAATGCATATGTACATTAAAGTGAGGTCAACTTAAAACTAGGCTGACTTATGCAAAAGTCAAAGTGATAATTTACTTACCAGGTTAGCAAGAAAGTGCTCGAGCAGCATACCAAAACGAAAAAGGGAACACAAAAGTCAAAGCCCTAAATTTTATGACTTGTGAAGACAAAACTTGCCTGAATTTCACCTGTGGAAGCAATCAAAATCAATTCTTGATCAATAAACAAAAATAGCTCAAAATGAAACCATCGACACCTACTAATTGCAAATAAACTCCAACCATTCTTGACTTGCAAAGATAAAAAAAAAAAAATCACTGAATTTAAGCAGTGGAAACAATCAAAAATCCATTTTGATCCATAAACAATTCTAAAAAAAGGCTCAAATGAAACCTTAAATACCCACTAACAGTAAATAAAACACAATTATGTGCATAAATCACCGTAAAAACTAAGTCAAAACCCTAATTTCTTGGACTTCAAAATTTTCCTAAAATTTAAGCAAGTGGAAGCAATCAAAATCCATTCTTGATCCATAAATAAAATAATTAAACAAGCTCAAATGAAACCTTAAATATATCCATTAATGCAAATAAAAAAACAGAATTATGTACATAAATCAGTATAATTAGTATACGTTAAAGTGAAGTAAACAGAATCTGAGCTGACTTATGAAAAAAAGTCAAAGCCCCAATAATTTAGTAACTTACGGGGTCTGGAAGAAAGTACCGGAATATCATCCCGACCCGCGCCCGACCCGAACTCAAATGGGTCTTTTGTGGCGCCGGTTGCCGGAGAATGAAATTAAAGTGAAGTGATGAAAGGATTGATTGAAGAGAGTGTAGTGTGCATGGAGAAAAGGCTAAGCAGCAAATTCAGCAGTACATGCTGAAGGTTTTAAATTAACATATATACCCCTGTCAGTTTTAAAAGTCAAATGTCTTTGAGTTGACTTCATTTTTAAACTCAAATGAGTTGACTTTTTTTTTTCTTCCTTTTTCAAGAAAATAATTTCTATATTTGTATGAGCTAAATCCCGAAAAAGTTGCTTTTTTGAATATTTCTGAATTTAATTTTCAAATTTTCGTGTTGATCCTTTTCCTAAGCCGAGGGTCTTCCGAAGATAGTCTCTCTGTCTTCTTGAAGGTAGGATAAAGTCTGCGTATATTCTACCCTTCCCAGATTCACTTGTGGAATTACACTGGGTTTGTTGTTATTGTTGTTGTTGTTGTTGTTGTTGTTGTTGTTGTTGTGTTGATCTTTTACCTTATCACGTTCGATTATCAACTTTATGCTTGTAGCTTATGGGTTCACGTAAATCTAGTAAATTTTCAGCAAACCCTACATATATATTAATATATTAATCAAATTATTGGCTTTGAACTTAATTATTACTATTAAATTTAACTTGAAATTGCTACAAGAACTATAGAGTTCAAGTATTGAATCCGTCTCAAAACATTACCATGGAAAAGAATAACGTGAGACAATTATGGAATTTACCTATTTGTTTAGCAAGACACATATCTTATGCAACTAAGTTTATTGGACTTGCTATAATTCTTCAACTAACTGAACGGCAACTGAACTTAGAATTAAAAACAAAGGCTATATGTTGACAATTGCTGAAGATAGGGGTGGGGATCACTTATCAGTTGCCATTGACTGTTTTAGTTTGAAATTATTTTGATGGTAAAGTAGAGCACTTGGACAAATGCACATATTCATTGTGTCGTTATGCCCGGGTTGTGGGGCTCTCAACCATATGGACATTTCAATGTGCTTATCCGCGCATGGCCCTGAGATATGGATTTGTACTTTTGGTGATCTTTCGAATGACCTTGCAGTACTTTCCCTCTTAATCCACCACACGCCCTTACATGAATGTTAAGTAGAACGCAGCTAAAGAGGAGGGGATGTTCCTGCAACACCATCTACCCTTTTCAAATCAAATGAGCCGCGAACTAGGAAAAGGGCAACCCGGTGCACTGAGCCCCGTTATGTATAGGGTCCGGGGAAGGGTCGGATCACAAAAGTGTTGATTGTCAAAAGTCCCACATCGGTGGGTGATAATTTGGGGTTGAAAATTTTTCCCTATAAAAGGAGGCCTAATGTTTAGGATTTAAACACACCTCTCATTTGCCTTCT